AAAACCACATGAATCAGTCAAAAGTCATGTTTTTGAGGAGAGGCCAAAATTACAGATGCGACGTAGTGATAGAGTAAAGGAAAAATAGCAACATCTGAAAGGACTCCAGGCATATGAAGATTGAAATAACAAACGAGTCTCTTGCAGCTTTGCCGCATTGACTGAGCATATGCTCGTAGTAGCTAAGAATTATTCAATGTGCAAATAAGATCTTAGTGTTTTAAAGCGACTTTGCAGCTCCTTTTATCCAAGGAGAGGAGCGTATATTAACCGTTTATGTAAAATGATTATTTTCATCAAATGGGATGTCAAAAGTTGTATGGTCGATGTTTCTTATCGCATGGCTCCTCATATAGATTTTATTACAATACTTACCATAAATTTATTATAGATTAAGTCCAGGTCTAATAGTAGGTCACCAGTTAGGCCCAAGCCTAACACTATATCTCAGTGTAGGTAAAGCTTCAATACTAAATCTAATGCTGATTTTAGGTTAAGCTTAGAAGACTACATCTATGTTTATTCTAACGTCTGAATCGAGGTCTTGGATAAAGGCTGATTCATAAGTCTAATTCAAGCCCTAGATCTAAAGATACAACTAATTCTAAGCCTAAGTAAACGCCTAGACTTATAATCAACACAAGTTTAACCGAAGCCCCGTTGCTAAGTTAAGGCTGAGTCTATGTATAAGCCCTAAGTCTGATCTTAAGTCTGTTTCTAATATTAAGTCAAAGCATAAGCTGATGCCTACACGCAAGCCTGAACTCAAGTTTATCATTAGCCAAAAGATGAGCCCTATAGTAAGCCTAGACCTAAAGTTCAGCCCAACTGAACCAAATTTTAAGCCTAAGTCTGGACCTTAGCCTTCGATTTATTAAATTTGGGCCAAAGACTATGTACAAACCTACACATGACAGTAAGTGTGAGCCAAAGACTAAGTTTGGCCTTAAGATTAAATATAATCCTTAGTCTAGGGCTAAACCTCAGCGTAAGCCTAGGGGTATGACTAAGACTAATTCTATACCTGAACCACATTTGGCCTGTGCCAGAGCGAGTATAAGCGGCTAAGTTAAGACTTAAGATTTAACATAAACAAAGACTCAGTCGAAGCCAGAGGATAAGCCTAAGCCGGTGAGCTTTAGACAGCCGAGAACTACTTCAGTCCCTAAGCCCTGGACTTTATCTACAACCTAAGCTTCAGGCTTGTTTTTCCCTGAAGCCTAAATATAAACTAAACCTAATTTTTTTCTATCCTATTCTTAAACTTAGTGCTACGCCCAAGCCTTGGCCTAAGACTATGTCAAAGCTAAATCATAAGTCCAAGCCTATATTTAAGCGTTAGCCTCTTCCTAAGTCCAAGTTTAACATTAATCTAATCTAAGTGTAACACTGAGCTTAACCCCAAGATTAAGCCTCATCGTAAGACTAAGATTAAGTCTGCTGTAAATCCTAAGCATAATTCAAATTCCAAAACTGAGTCGAAATTGTAGTCTAGACACATAAACTTGTACAAAGTCTTATGCCTATGATTAGTCCTAAGTTCATATTCTAGAGCTGGGCCCTGGACTAAGCGTGGGTCAATGCCAAATTGTACGGTTTAGCTTAAGTCGAAGTCTAGGCCAAACCTTACGCCATAGCAAACGTCTGAGAGTAAATCTAAGCGTAACTCTAAGCATAAGCGTGGTCATAAATCAGAGCCTGAACATGAGAATAAACAGGCAAGATAGCCTAAAACCAAGTGTGGGCCTAAGCCTAAACTGGATGGTAAACGTAAACTTCTCTCTCAGT